CTGCTAAAACCAATGGCCACTACTCCATACTCTTACTACTTGACCTCTCTGCGGCTTTTGATACTGTTGACCATCCCCTCTTCCTCAAAAAACTCCACTCTATTGGCCTCAGAGACTCTGCTCTCTCCTGGTTCTCCTCCTACCTATCGCAGTGCTCCTTCAGTGTTACTTTTAACTCGGTCTCCTCCTCTCCACTTCTTCTTTCTGTAGGGGTCCCTCAAGGTTCTGTCCTTGGACCCCTTCTCTTCTCCATCTACACCTCCTCCTTTGGTCACTTGATAAACTCCCATGGCTTTAAGTACCATGTCTATGCTGATGACACACAAATCTATCTTTCTACTCCTCACCTCACCCCTTCAGTCTCCTCTCGCATTAGTAACCCACTAAGTGATATATCAGCATGGATGTCACTCCACTTCCTCAAACTAAATCTTTCTTACAACAATCAGTCCCTCCCCTCATGCCAGGGTACTAGGTGTAATCCTAGACTCCCATTTGTCCTTTCAGCCCAAATCTAATCACTGTCCAAATCTTGTAGACTTCACCTCCGCAACATCTCCAAGATACACCAGATTTTAACCACTGAAACCACTAAGCAACTTATTCAGTCCCTGGTTATCTCTCGCCTTGACTAATGTAACTCCCTCCTCATCAGCCTACCTAATAGCAGGCTATCCCCTCTTCAGTCTATCATGAATGCTGCTGCCAGACTCATCCACCTTACCAACAGTTCCATATCTGCCATCCCTCTTTGCCAGTCCCTCCACTGGCTTCCCATTGCCCAATGAATAAAATTCAAAACAATAACATATAAAGCCATTTCCAACTCTTATTACATCACCAATCTTGTCTCCAAATATCACCCAAACCGTCCTCTCCATTCCTCCCATGACCTCCTGTTCTCTAGCTCCCTTGTCTCCTCCTCCCATGCTCGTATCCAAGACTTCTTAAGAGCCTCCCCCATCCTCTGGAACGCTCTACCCCTATCTATCCGTCTATCGCCTACTCTGCCCATTTTTAGGCAATCTGAAAGTCTCTGCAGGGAAGCCTGTTCTGCCTTCAGCTAATAACCAAATCTTTTATCTCTCCCATCAGTTCATCCCCCATAGTTATTAACTTTTGTACTACCATCCCCTCCCTCTTAGTGTGGGCCCTCCCAACCCTCTTGCATTGAACTGTATGGCTGCTGTATTGTCTCCCTTTATATTGTAAATGTGCTGAGCAAACTGTTGGCGCTATATAAATTAGGTGTAGGAACAATCAATAAACAACAATAAGAGCAGAGACCAAAAGGATCCTTCAAGTGCCATTCAAATCATGCAACTGTGTAGGTAATTGTGTAGGGTAGGGGCACAAAAGTGCCCAGTGTCATTCCCTGGTTTGGTCACTATGTGTTGTCATTGTTATCATTGACAGTAGGCTTAGGGACCCAATATAGTGGTGCAATATTCTAAGTAGGGTCTATAGCTCCTCAGAGTAGTAAAAGGGTGTGACCATGGACAGACCATAGTTAGTGAGGTAGTGTTGGCCCTGCTCATGCCAGAGTGGAACATCTTGGGAAGTAGGGTTCTAATAGACAGCAGAAAAATTACCAATTGGTCCATCAAGTTTGAACTGGGTGGAGGCTATGCAGAACTCATCATGGGAAATGTCTAAAGGACCAAGCTACATCAAGGATGTAGGCCGTGAGGTCTGTTTCTTGGAGCTTCCCCCCTTAGAACACAAGCAGGGGAGAAAATGTGACTATTGCAACTACAGATGGGCAGCATGACTCTGGAAAAATCTCTTCTCAAGAAGGGACTCCTCAGCTTGGCTCTCTTGTTGTTGTGGGTGAATATTTTTATTAACAACTGAACTCAGTAACAGTTAAAACAATTTCACTGTTTGGACTCTTCCTTTTCCTAACTTCAAGATGGGAGCATCCTCTGGAAATGGATGGTGCTGAGTGAGAATGCTATTTGGGTCCAGTGCAGTAAGGCCTGAGGAAGATATGAAACAGACTGCTTGTGGCCACTGGTAAGCCTAGGCCAGGAATCTTCCAAGGCTGGTTCCAAGGGGTAGCCTGGTTCCAAGGGGTAGCCTACATTGGCTGGTTCCAAGGGGTAGCCTGAGGAGGATCCCATGTCTGAAGTGTCCTGTTAGGTCATGGCGACCACCCTATGTCTGGCAGGAATGGATTAAAGAGTGCATGTGCTTTCCCAATTCTTTGTTAATTGTACACCTTGAGGACCAGGTTGTTCTAAGAAGCTCTCTAGAGAGTAAATGGCCACAACCTGTTATATTTATGGAATTACAATAATTCCCACACACGTTCTGATTAGAGCAACAAAAACCTGACTTTGTAGGAATAAAAAAAAAAAAAAAAGGTTACATAGTATTTGGTTTCAATTCATGTAACAGGTTCACTTTAAGTCCACGTGCAGTTTCCTGGATGGACCTGATTTTTTTTTTTTTAGGGTGGCACTTTAAATGTTTCCTTCCGTTACCATCCAGGACCATATAAAGAGGTCAGTGTCTTAATTTCAGCCAACGTTGTTATTTTTACAAAATATTATGCAAAATATTGCAGTCCTTTTACTATATCTTTGGGCTGTTAAAGTCAATATTGATGCAACACAAAACTGTATTTAGTTCACGTTAGATGTCGACTGCATGCAGATGTACATTGAACCTTGTTGCCCTTTATTTTTTCCCTTACTGTGTATGAATAGGGCTATTCAGACTCATTTTTCAGATTATGTTGTGAAAGGAAGCTGTAGAAAGACTGAAATTAATTGGCTTTTTTCTGCAGTTGTTTGTTGTTTGTTTGTGTTGCTCTTTACCTCTTATGACCTTGGTTGTGTTTACTGATGGTTGTTCCATTAGGTGGAGCTAGTGGGACGTTTCTAGGTACACTAAACAGTATTAAGTTAATTTTTGGTATTTTATTATTTGATATGTTCATTTAAAGGATAAGTTCACCTTTGCAAATATGTTACCTCCATATTCAGGGTGTAACATGTTTTGAACAGATCAGTCCCCCCGCCCCCATCCCCATTGTGACAGGTAATGGAGGATCTTCCTCTGCTGGCAATCACAATTTTTAAAAAAGTGGCCAAGAGGAGCTTCACCCACCCGGCCACATCACTCATGCACAGTATTCTGTGAATCAGAAAAATACAAGTTCCGACTGCCTTTGCGGCTTTTGGCTTGCAGTTCTCAATGAACTACCAAGGCACTGTGGAGCTCTGTGGTAGTTCATTAAGTCTTCCTGTCAGAGGAATTACGGGTATGATGTGCAGGCATACAGATACACTGACAAGTCTACAGGAGATCTGCATGGCACCAGTGATCTGCTGACCACTGGTGCAATGCTTTAGAGGCTGCACCTGCAAAAAAAATTGCATATATTATTGTTTGTTAAAAGGTGAACTTAACCTTTAAAGTGACACTAAACTCAGGTCTTTTTAGCTCAAAAAATTCCCTTCTATTACTTTCAGCCTCCTCCAGTTATCCAAATTCCCATTTTCTTCTGCTGTGAACTAACTTCCTGATAGAGGGTGGCTACATTCATTATCCATGGTCCCACTGTATGTAGAAATGTAGCCACCCTCTCTTGCTCACTCTGACAATGGACTATGGATTATAGGATTTGTAGTGTACATAGACCGCAAATTAATAATCACTGCTTGCTCCAAATGGAAGTAAGTGGGAAAATTAGAGGTTTGGGAGTTCACAGAGGACATTACAAAGAAGCAGAAAGACAAAATATCATGAAAAATTGATTACAGGGCCATTAAATAGCCAATGTGTATAGATTATTACTGGACAATTAGGATATGGTTTAGAGTCATTTTAAGCATTTTGACTGACACTTTAAAGTGGTAATAAAGTTATGATGTTGATTTTTACCTATAGGTAAGCCTATAATAAAGCTTACCTATAGGTACATTAAATACCTCCTAAACATGTACCGTTATAGCAACTGTGCCATCCATTCATAACTCCATGCCACGTTCATGACTACCGCGCGCCTGCATGGAAGTGACGTCATCGGGGGTCGGCCTTTCATACAGAACCTGGAAGAAAGAAAAGATGGATGTGCCTGGACCTGTGATACTGCACCGCCTGAGGACTTCATTTTCAGGTAAGTCTGCCCGTGGGCTCAATTTTTTATTTTTTGGTGCTGTTTACTACCACTTTAGCGCAGAATTCTGAGATCTCTTAAGGAAAAAAAAAACTAGGCAAAATGACAAATGTGAATAATATTTCATAATAATATAAATAATATTTCATTTTCTTTACACATAAGCTGTTTTACCTGTCAAAGTATTTGTAATTCTGTTCTGCTCGTCTTTAGATTCACTCAACCTTGCTAGATAGCACATCCACCTTCCTGACCTCACTTTTCTCCACTACGGTAAAAAGTACTGCATATGTAAACCCTTAAACAACCCATTCAGTTTAAAATAGAAACGCAAGGCAAAAAAAATTCTAAATACCTTTGTATCGTTTTTTTAGAAATGATCAACTCTTTTCTCAGCTAGATAAGGGGCTTAGAGAACTGGAGGTGGAGACTGCAGGGGGCACGTCAGAAAGAGGCATAGAAAGAGCAGGACACTGATGACTGAGCAGGACACTGATGACTGTGCAGGGGCATGTCAGCACAAGTCTTAGCCACTGGAGAATATGCAGATTGTTCTCCCAGCACAGTCAGAAAACTGACCAAGCTGATATGGATGTTCTTCTATGACTAGCAGGGCCAGTTTGCAATGGGAAAGCAGGGGGACTGGCAGGATCGCCAGGTAATTCACGCAAAGGAATGAATACAAAGAGAACAGGATACACAAGTACATGGTACAGCAGGCACATATCAAGAATATGAAATGTTGGGGGTAAGAAAAACTTCAAAGCAATACAGCTTGGTCAAAGACTTGTCTCCAGCCTGCCATTGTATAATGAAGGAATAGCAGTAAACTGGGGAGGTTATCCTTGTGCTCCCTTCCAGATCTTGTCAGTACAATAGGTACCAGGGGTGGACTGACAACTCATGGGGCCCCCAGGCAATAGGGGATCATGAGACCGCTGTGTCCTTGCCCACACTCAAAAAAGCCTATGAAAAAGGTACCAGGGGCATCTCATGGGGCCCCCTACTGACCCCGGGCCCTCGGGCAGTGCCCGAGTTTCCAAATGGTCAGTCCGCCCCTGATAGGTACCAATAGACATGGGAGAGCTATTGAATAAAAATTCAAGTATGCTAATAAATGTGTCTTGAAAGGGATTTGTTATCTAAGCATACACAATACTTTCAGAAAAGCCTAAAGGTTTATGCACTAAACAGAAAATTTGGTCCCTGGACTTAAAACACAAGGCATTTGGGCAGGGGAAAAGGGGTATATGAGAGAGGGACAAATAATAAATTCCTACTTTGTCATTAATTGTGACTTATAACTTGTCAAATTTATCAACATAAAAAGAACACTGTGAAATGTTGAGAAAGTTGTGTTTGAATTTATTAGTAAATGTTTTTTCTGAGATTCTGTTGATGCCAGTGTCATACCATTTGTATAAATAAAGCTTTCTTGAAAAACATAACAAACTTTGTCTAAATAAACACTGTTCACACAGAACGCTCCACCACAACTAAAATAGTTTTCTAAGCTTCTCACAGCAATCGCTGATCTTCCCTAAACACTATTTTAAGTGTAGTTCTTGTTCAGGGATTGCAGGGTCTTCAGAAAAAATAAACATTATTTTTAACTTCTTCATTGCAATGATTGTGGCAGTTCTTTTATCCCAAAATTTCATGTCCCAATGGGTTATCAAGAAGCTGAAATATACAGATAGCCCGGTCAAACCGCACTCTTTTTTAAAGTGAGCATTTGGGGATGGAAACCACAGAAAGTGCTCCCAAATGTTTTCAAAATACAGACCACACTGCCAGGCAAGGCCAGTGAGCCATGAAAGTTTGCCGAGACTTTCCTTCACTTGGGTATGGACTCAAGCCCTACCTGAGGAATCAGGTTATTCCAGAGTAAATGCCCAATTCTGGGCAGCAGTAAAAAGTATCCTTGCAGTACCGGTGGAGAGAGGCATAATTTACAAAGGATCTAGAGGCCTTCCAAATAATCCTTCTAAACAGATCAAGATGGAGCTCTTCTAGGTTGTCCAACCAGAAGAACACCCTGGAGCCTCAGAATATCCTAGAGATCTTATATTACCACCGAAAGCTAAAGTCTGGAATAGTTTAAAAGTTTTCTATAAATGCTACTTTAGACTAGGGGTGGAGGAATAAGCTGTAATGCTTACCTTATTCCTAGCTCCCACGGACTTCCTCCTAGCTGCAAGACCAGTCCCTCAATGCTGCTTCTCTTCATTGTTCTGCTGGTCTCAGGCTTTCTGACATCATCGCATACTCTGCAGGACCAGCAGCCCTGTGTTGTACATGAAGACAGCAAGGACCCTCTCACAATCCGAGAACATCAGAGATAGGAGAAGAGCACATGGAATAAGGTAAGAATTGCACCTCATTTCTCTACCCTAAACTAAGCAAACATTTATAGGTTATTTTTAAACTATCACTGACTTCAGTTTTAAGTGACATTATAAGGTCTCCAGGATGTCCAGGGTCTCCATGGCCTTCCTGTGGTTTGCTAGCTAAGAAGAAACCCAGTTTAGGGGTAGAGGCATACACTGTAATACTTACTTTAACCTCCTCGGCGGTATGATTATTTCTGATTTTTGGTGCTGAAAGCGGTACCATTTTTTTGCATGGAAATATGTAGTTTTTTATTGTAGGCTGTAATTTTTTAGGAAAAACTCACTGAAATCTGTCCGAACAAGTCTAGTAAACATTCCGGATATAATAAAACTTGAAACACGAAATCATAAATTATAATTTAATTAATAATCATAAAAAATAATAATATAATAATAATAAATTTAATTCAATAATATAATCAAACCAAAAACACTGAAATTTGAAATACAGAGGCAAATTCGCACATCGCTGAGCAAAGTTGCAAAATCGTTTTCAGTGTCTGATGACGAATTTCCCCCACGAATCATTATCACTCAATTCTGCAAGTGCAAGGTAAGCGCTGCAGGGACTCCCAGAGCAATGCCGCATGGTAAGCGTAAGCCCGAGTGTAACTCGGGGTTACTGCTCTTGGTACTGAAATTTTACCCCGAGCTACACTCGAGAATACCGCCAGGGAGGTTAAACTTTGTTTTTACTGGTTTCCTCCTAGTTGCAAGACCAGTTCCCCCAAAGAAGTTTCTCTTTGTTGTTCTGCTGCTCTCAGACTATCTGACATCATCACATCTATGCAGTACCAGCAGTCCTACACTCAATGTGAGGACAGCAAGAGCCTGCTTACATTCCCAGAGTGTTGAAGAGCAGAGAAGATCACCAGCTGCTTGCCAAACAAGGATCAAGGTATGCATTATAGCTTATTACTAGAGATGAGCGAATCGAATCAGGCGAAGTGGAATTCGTTTCGAATATCGGGAAAAATTCGATTCGCATCGGTACTGGAATACTTCTTCTTTTTTTCATTCTTCTTCTTTTCTTCTTTCATTCTTCTTCTTCTTCTTCTTTTCATTCTTCTTCTTCTTCTTCTTTTCATTCTTCTTTTTTTCTTTTCATTCTCTTCTTCTTCTTCTTCATTCTTCTTCATTCTTCTTCATTCTTTCATTCTTCTTCTTTTCATTCTTCTTCTTTTCATCTTCTTTTCTTCTTCTTCATTCTTCTTCTTCTTCTTCTTCTTCATTCTTTTTTCATTTCTTCTTTTCTTCTTTTTCTCTTCTTCAATTTCATTCTTCTTTCATTCTTCTTTCTTCTTCTTTTCATTCTTCTTTTCATTCTTTTCTTCTTCTTTTCATTCTTCTTCTTCTTCTTCTTTCTTTTTCTTCTTCTTCTACTTCTTCTTCATTCTTTTCTTCTTCTTCTTCTTTTTCATTCTTCTCTTTTCTTCTTCTTTTCATCTTCTTCTTCTTCCTTCTTTTCATTCTTCTTCTTCTTTTCTTCTTCTTCTTCTTTTCATTCTTCTTTTCATTCTTCTTTTCTTCTTCTTCTTCTTTCTTCTTTTCATTCTTTTTTCATTCTTCTTCTTCTTTTTCATTCTTCTTCTTTTTCTTCTTTTCATTCTTACATTTCTTCTTCTTTATTCTTCTTCTTCTTCCTTTCTTCTTACTTCTTCTTCTTTTCATTCTTCTTCTTTTCATTCTTCTTTTCATTCTTTATTCTTCTTCTTTTCATTCTTCATTCTTCTTTCTCATTCTTCTTTTCATTCTTCTTCATTCTTTTCTTCTTCTTCTTTTCATTCTTCTTCTTCTTCTTTTCATTCTTCTTTTCTTCTTCTTCTTTTTCATTCTTCTTCTCATTCTTCTTTACTTCTTCTTCTTCTTCTTTCATTCTTCTTCTTTCTTTTCTTTTCCATTTTCATTCTTTTCATTCTTCTTCTTTTCATTAAACATTTTCTTCTTCTTTTCATTCTTCTTCTTCTTTCTTTTCATTCATTCTTCAATCTCTTCTTTTCATCTTCTTTATTCTTCTTTTCACTTCTCATCTTCTTCTCTTCTTTTATTCACTTCTTCTTTTCATTCTTTCTTCTTCTTTTCATTCTTCTTCTTCTTTTTTCTTCATTCTTCTTTTCTTCATTCTCTTCATCTTCTTTTCATTCTTTTCAGAAGAATCCTCTTTTTTCACATCTTCTTTCATTCTTCTTTTCATTCTTTCTTCTTTTCTTCTTCTTCTTCTTTCTTCTTTTCTTTTCTTTCTTCTTTTCATCTTTCTTTTCTACTTTTTTCATTTCTTCTCATCTTTTCATTCTTTTCTTTTCATTCTTCTTTTCTTCTTTTCATTCTTATTCTTTTCTTCTTCTTTTTCTTCTTCTTTTTCTTCTTTTCTTTTCTTCCTTCTTTTCATAATCTTCTTCATTCTTCTTCTTCTTCTTTTCTTCTTCTTTTCTTTTTCTTTTCTTCTTCTTCTTTTCTCTTCTTTTCTTCTTCTTTCAATCTTTTCTTCTTTTCATCTTCTTCTTCTTCTTCTTCTTCTTCTTTTCATTCTTTTTTTCTTCTCATTCTTCTTCCTTCATTCTTTTTCTTCTTCCTCATTCTTCATTCTTTTTTTTCATTCTCATCTTTCATTCTTCTTTCTTCTTCTTTTCTTTTTATTTTTTTTCATTCTCTTCTTTTCATTCTTTTCTTCTTTTCTTTCATTTTTTTAATTTCCTTTCATTCTTCTTTTCTTCTTCTTCAATTTTTCATTTTCATTCTTTCTTTTTCTCATTCTTCTTTTTTCTTCTTTCTTTCATTCTTCTTTCTCTTCTTTTTTTCTTTTTTTTCTTCTTCTTTTCATTCTTCTTCTTCTTCTTCCTTCATCTTCTTCTTCTTCTTTTCTTCATCTTCTTCTTCTTCTTCTTTTCATTCTTCTATCTTCTTTTCATTTCTTTCTTCTTCTTTTCTCTTCTCTTTTCATTCTTCTTTATTTCATTCTTTTTTATTCTTCTTCTCACTCATTTTATTCCTCTTCCTTCTTCTTTTCACGTGCATAATTCCTTATCATTTCTTCTTCTTCATTCTTCTTCTTCATTTCATTCTTCTTTTCATTTTCTTCTTCTTTTCATTCTTTTCTTCTTTTTCATTTTCTTCTTTTCATTCTTCTTTCTTCTTTTCATTCTTTCTCTTTTTTCATTCTTCTTTCTTCTTCTTCTTCTTCTTTTCTTCTTCTTTCTTTTCTTTTCATTCTTTCTTCTTCTTTTCATTCTTCTTCTTTTTTCTTTCTTTCTTCTTTTCATTCTTCTTCTTCTTCTTTTTTCATTCTTCTTTTCATTCTTCTTCTTCTTTTCTTTTTTCATTCTTCTATTCTTCTTCTTTACTTCATTCTCTTTTTCATTCTTTTTTCTTTTCATTTTCTTTTTTCTTCTTCATTTTCATTCTTCTTATCTTCATTCTTCTTCTTTTTTTCATTCTTCTTCTTTTCTTCTTCTTTTTTTTCATTTTCTTTCCTTATTTTTTTCTTCTTTTCATCTCTTTTCATTTTTCATTCTTCTTTTCTTCTTTTCTTCTTCTTCTTCTTCTTCTTTTCTTTTCATCTTCTTCTTCTTATCTCTTTTATTCTTTTCTTCTTCTTCTTCTTTTCATTCTTCCTTCTTTTTATTTCATTCTTTTTTCTTTTCTTTTCTTTTTTTCTATTCCTCATTTTCTTTTTTCTTCTTTTCATTCTTCTTCTTCTTTTCTC